TACTACGACGACTACTACTACTACTACTACTACTACTACTACTATTACTACTACTACTACTACTACTACTACTACTACTACTACTACTACTACTACTACTACTATATCACTATTACTGCGCCTAATACTAATGCGCTATTACACAAAGATTACGAATACCACTAAGAATCAGCAGAATGATTGAATCATATATCCCTGCGACGATCAATGCTAGGGCTACGACGAACAGGATCGAGGGAAGAGCATGGATTCACATAACAATACTATTGAAGAGCATGCACGAAATATCTCTCTCATGCAGGGTAGCCCAGGGGATGGTTTCCCGACGATAAATCGCCCCCCGACAATGACCAGCATGGTCAAGAATAGACGGAAAATGATTCGGCCGCCGACCACCGTGCCTAATCGCCAAGCCAGAGCTTTGGGGGGGGCAGCATTCAAGACCCTCTGCGGCTAACGGGCCCCAGGCGCAGACATCACAGAAAAACGCGCGAAGCGCGCGAAGATGGATAGAGAGGGGACGAAAACGAGGACCATGACCAAGCCTGAGCGCGGAAGCATAGGTGTCGATCTTGGTCCCCGTTCATCTTGATCAGAACCGCTTCGTGGGTTGTTCTCACGAGTTGGTCATGGCCGGCATGGACCATCACCAAGGTCGGTGCCGACAATATCCCAGGAAATCTTTAGAAGATGAACACACGGTAAATGTTCGATTGTCCGCGCGGATCTTCTTGGATCTGCGCTGGGCCCTCCATGGCGCGCGGAGCGCGCTAGGGGCGGCGCCAGAGGCGCCACAAGGGGGGTCGAGCGCAGATCCGAGAAATCAGCGCGGAGCTCCGAAAGTTTATGTTCATGCCGTTCTCCCTTCTTCGGCAGGACCAAGCAAAATCGGCGCCATCCTCACGAATCGGCATTCGCCATGGCCATGTCGAACCATCCTCAAGAATCGGCGCCGACGAGATCCCACCGACAAAATGCCGCTACTACCTGGACCTCTCCCACCAGAGTGCGTTCTGACAACTTCGAAGCCAGCCGTGGCGATGAGAGCCTCCAAGGAGGCCCAACAAGGGGAGGGCGAGGGAAGGGTAGCTGTGTCGGCACCTTTCCCCAAACATGCGATGTGCTGATTTTTCGCTCGCGCGGTTCCTGGAAATCCCGACCCCTTCCCCGGGACCGGCTCCTCATCCCGAGTTGCATGTTTGTTTACAATCCCAGGGCCAGACAAGGGCCCCTAAAGGCCGAAAACAACTAAACACGGCCGCCCTGATTCCCCCACATCCAAAGTGGGGTTTGTGCTTTCTCTAGGCACCCCGCCCAGGAACAGGATGGAAGTAAGGAACCCCCCTCTTCTCACTCACACACTCACACACTCACATCATCATCACCGCATCATCATCATCACTTACACACTCGCACACACTCTGATTCTCCAACTCACCCACCGTCACGCATAAATATGTATCATCACTCATCATCAGCATCATCATCAGCATCATCATCAGAACACCATCGTCAACAGAGCCTCGTCTGTGAGTGAAGTGCGGGGAAGTCTTAGGCGGGTGACCCCTCCCTATGGGGCCCGCCGCTCATGTTTTTTATCCGAGCGGGTTATCGGCCCCCTGTAACTGTCGTCACTTTTGAGCCCATGAGGCCTGAATACAAAGAAAATATCAGGCGGGAGCCTCGTCTGCGAATCAATTGCCAGGAGGTCTCAGGCGCGAGCCACCTCCCTATGGGGCCCGCCGCTCACGGTTTGAATCCGAGGCGGGCCATCGGCCTCCTGTAACTGTCGTCACTTTTGGGCCCCTGAGGCATGTGAATATGGAGGACGTAACAGGGAGGACGCGCCGCTGGATGACCCCAAAGGTGGGGGGGGTTGGGACCCCCCCCCCCTTTCCCCGATCCGTCGTCGGGGAACCCCCCCTCCCTCCCCCCCTTTTCCGATCCGTCGTCGGGAAACCCCACCCCACCCCTTTCCCGGTCCGTCGTCGGGGACCCCCCCCCTCCCCCCTTTTCAAAAGGAGCGGGGGGGGGTCCGAACCACCCCCCCCCCCTCCCCCCCTTTGGCCGCCAAATTCGACCCCATTCCCTTCCCCCCCTTTCGCCACGGCAACCCTGGTCTCCGGAACCCGACCCCTACCACCCCGACCATTAATCCCCGCACTTACCCTACTCCTAACCCCAAACCCAAACCCTAGCCCCAAACAGCACTCGTTGCTCATTACGCACTACTCACTACCCACAATTCACTACCCGCTACTCACTACTCACTTCTCACTACGCACTACTCACTACTCACGACTCACTACTCACTACCCACGACGCACTACCCACGACGCACTACTCACTACTCCCTGCTCCCTACTCACTACTCACCACTCACTACAATACTCACTACTCACTAAACACAACTCACTAACCACTACTTACGAATCACAAATCACTACTCACTAACCACTAACCACACTACTCACCACTCACTGCCCACAACCCACTACTCAGAATCCACTACTCGCTGCTCGCTACTCCCTACTCCCTACACAGTACTTACAGTTCACCGCTCACTACTCGCTACACCCTACTCCCTACTCGCTACCCAATACGCACTATTCACTACCCACTACTCACTACCCAGCACGCTCCCGCTATTCATTACTCATACTTCCTACTCCCTACTCACTATTCCCGCTCACTACTCACTACCCAGTACTCACTACTCACTATTCTTAAACACTACTCACCGCCCAGTACTCACTACTCACTAAGCACTACTACTCACTATCCAGTAGAAACGATCCATTAGTGACTACTGATAACTCACAATCCACTACGTACTACGCACTACCCACAACTCACCATTCACTATCCGTTACTCACTACCTAGTATGACATACTCACTACCTACAACGCGCTATTCGCTACTCACTACTCACTGCTCATTACTCACGACTTACTACGCACCACTCACGATTTTCTACTCGCTACACCCTTACTCACTACCACGACTCTATACCCACTTCTCGCTTCCAACTACTCACTATTCAATACTCCCTACTCACTACTCACAACTCACTACTCACTACCCGCTACTCACTACTCGCTACTCCCTACTCACAACTCACTACTGACTCCTGACTTATCCCTCCTCACTGCTCACTACTCACAACGACCTACTCGCTACTCACTACTCCCTACTCGCTACTCGCTACTCGCTACGCACCATTCACTGCGCACTACTCACTACTCACTACTCACTACTCACTCCTCGCTATTCGATAACGTCTACTCCCTCATTCCTACTCCCTGCGTGCTATTCACTACGCACCACTCACTACACACTATTCACTCTTCACTACTCACTACTCACAATTCGTTACTCAATACTTCCTTCCCACTACTCACTACCCACTACTCACTACTCAATAGTCTCTACGCGCTATTCACTACCACCACTACCCATTACCCACTACTCACTGCTCACCACTCACGACTCACTGCGCACTACTCACTATTAAAACCCACTACTCACCAATCGCTACTCAAAACACTCTAGACTCCACTCACTACCCGAAAGGCCCCCTCCCCAGCCCCCTGTTCGGCGCAAAAGGGGGAGGGGGGGATTCGAACCCCCCCCCCCTTCTCCAGCGCCAAGGGGGGGAGGGGGGGGGTCCGGACCCCCCCCCTTCAAGGGGGAAGAAGGGGGGGTTCGGACCCCCCCCCCTAAAGGGGGTGAGGGGGGAGGGGTCGAAAATCCCACTCCCCTTTGAAAGGGGAGGGGGGGGGGTTGCGAGCACCCCCCCCTGTTGTGTATTCAGGGCCATCCACTGGCGCGCTTTCCGTATCAGGCGGGAGCCTCCTGTGTGAGTGATCTGTGAGGAAGTCTCAAGCGGAGTCCTCTCCTGATGGGGCCCGCCGCTCATGTCTTCAAATCCGAGCGGGTCATCCGGCGGCGGCGGCGGCGGTTGCAGCGGTGGCGGCGGTTGCAGCGGTGGCGGCAGCGGCTACGGCGGCGGCGATTCGGCAGCGGGGGCGACGGCGGCGGCGGCGGCGGCGGCGGGCGGTGCGGCGCGGCGCGGCGGCGGCGGCGGACGGCGGCGGCGGGCGGCGCGGCGGCGGCGGCGGCGGACAGCGGCGGCGGCGGCGGCGGCAGCGGGCGGCGGCGGCGGCAGCGGAGGCGGCGGCGGCGGCAGCGGAGGCGGCGGCGGCGGCAACAGATGCGCCCCGAGTAGCTGCCCATCCAAAGACGACTGCTGAATATGCTGAGGCTCGGGTCACGCTCGGGTGCTACGTATGTGTTGGGAGGGCGGGGAGGACGTCTTGACCTCCCCCTACCCCCTGGGGGTTTCCCCGCAAATGCCAAAATCCGACCGCTTCAAGACGGTTCCAAGTGGCCAAAGAGCTCACCCAGGAGGCCCCGAAGAGGCCAAACCTTTAAAAAAATAATGTTTTGGGCTTTCTCGCCTTTTCGCTTCCGATGGCCATCCGAGGCTTCACGATGACTCCAAGATGGCCCAAGAGGGCTCCAAGAGCGCCCCAAAGGCTCCCAAGAGCGCCTCAAGAGGGCTCCAAGAGGCGCCCAGGAGGCCCCAGAGGCCCCAAAAGGCGCCCCAGAGGCCTCCAAGAGGCCCCCAAGAGACCCCCAAGAGGCCCCAAGAAGCTCTCCGAGGCACCCAAGACGCTCTAAGGCGTCCGGGAACGCCAAAAGGCCACCAAGACGCTCCAAGAGGCCTCCACTGGGGCACCCTTCCTCTGTGTGGTGCCCGCTTCCCTGATCGAGGCACTTCCTCTGGGCATCGTTTCTGGATGGGCTGGTGGGGTTACTTTTTTGGTCGGCGGCTCCCTGGCGAAGGTCAAGAAGCGGGTCAACGTCCGGGGCGCGGAACGAAGATAATTGGCCGCAGTGGCGTTTGCACATGCCAGGGACAAAATGACCCTCATTGAGATGCCAGGGTTACACGAAGCGTCTAGAATTTGCTGCTGGTTAACGGCGCGAACATGCCTGGGGAAACCAGACGGTACCGATACCAGTACTCCCCGCGCGTTCTGACCAAGATCTCGAGCCGAATGCAGCGGTGGCGACGAGAGCCTCCGGAGGCCCACAAAATGGAAAAAGAGGGAAAATTAGCAAAATGGGTACCTGTTCCCCTGTTCCCCCTCTGAATGTCTGGGCCTTCCTCCTATGATCTTGGTCGTGGTCGTCGTGCTTCTCCCATCGATCGGGGATCTTCTGACCAGGGTCAATCCAAACCCGGGTCAGTCAGGCCTTGCAAAATTCTGCAAGATCCTGCACCCAAACCCAGGTCACTGCAAAAAAAACTGCCAGACCCTGCAGCACCCAAGCCCGGGTCAATGCGACCCTGGCCCTGCAGGATCCTGCAAGATCGGGCGCTCTGGCTGACCCCCGTTTGCATTGACCCCCGTCTCTTGAGCCTTCCTCCTCTGATTCGGGGGCGCGCAAACATGGATCAGCGATCCATGGATTCGGCGCGCGGTCGCCAAATCCATGGATCGGGGGGGGTGCCCTCCCCAAGATGCGGACAGTGCAGCCTCGCTCGGCGGCGGAAACCCACGATTTCCCATGGGAACGGGACCCGTCGCTAATCCACGCCCCCATTGATCCATGTCTGCGATCGCCTGCCTGCTCTTGGTCGTGGTCGTCGTGCTTCTCCCCTCGAGGGCAGCTGGCGCCCCCCGGGCCACCCTCCAGCGCGACGCGGCGGGCGGGGTCTCCAGAGCTCGGGGGCGGCGAGACCGCCTGCGCGGCCGCGGCAGCGCCGCGGCCGCGCACCCCGAGACCCGCCGCTGCCAGGCAAACAAAAAACTGCGTTCCCGAGGGACGCACAAGGACATGCTGGTGCTAGGGTAAGGTCGGGCGTGTCCTCCTGCAGGGGGACTCTGAGCGAAAAACAATATAAAAATAGTCCAGAAGGGCTAAAAAGAGACTAAAAAAAACTCGTCCCCTGGTAAGGGCTAAAAAGAGACTCAAAAACTCGTCCCCTGGTAATCTTTTCCACTATTCTGGAACACTCCCCCTGTAGAGGGGCACGCCCGACTCGGAACTACCCTCGCGCTTCGCACCTCGCTCTGAAGTCGCCCAGGCAGCGGAGCGCGAAGCGCGACCAGCTTCGCACCCTCGCGGCGGCCCCGGAAGCCGAGCCCCCATGGGACGCACAGCGACATACAAGTGGGACGCAAAGAGACATGCTAATACTATGTGCCCTCCTTGGAGGCGCGCGTCCGACCCGAACATATAGTATAATCAGCTTGTAGTGCATCGTTTCCCGAGCTGCGTGGCCAGAGAGCGCCCGCCACGAAGCAAAAACTAGAAGATTTCTCGGTGCGCGCGCGTCGCCCCTGGGGGGGGGGGGGGGCGACGCACATGTAGTAGAAATATGTTGGGGTGACGCCGACAGTCCACAAGAAACCTTCCACTAAAAACCCGACCCTGAGACCCCAGGACGTCCATTTGATTTCTGGTGTGGGAATGTCGCGCTCTCCATCGCAAAGCCATCAGAACCCAAGCAACCCAGGGCACCCTGGAGGCAAGCAGTGTGTTGTTTGGCATGGGTCTCCACTGTACTGGTACTACGCGTCCTCTTCGGAGGCGTGCGTCCGACACGGACACGTAGCACAACCATCCTGTAGCACGTAGCTTCGCGAGCGGTACGGCCAGAGAGCGGCGGCGACGGGACTTCTACTGTAAGATCCCTCGGGGCGCGTTTCGCCCCTGGGGAGCGACGCACACATAGTACATAGTATTCGCATCAGGTCGGGCATGTCCCCCTACAGGCGGATTCTGGTCGAAACATCGAAAAATGATACGAAATAATAAAAAAAATCGTCCCCATGTTACTGTTTGCCTATTTTGAACATTCCTCCTGTAGGGGGACACGCCGACTTAGTATTAGTATGTTGGGGTGACGCCGAAGACATGTTCGAGTGGGAGCAAAAAAAACAGACAGGGTTTTCGGCCTCTGGGGGCCCTCGTCGGGCCCCGGCACTTCTTGGGACTGGGTGTCGACTCCATCCTTCCGCGTCATTGTCCCAGCCAGATCGGTCGGCGAGGGCCCCGACTCCTGACACCCAGCGGAAACGCAATGTGAGCGAAATTGGCCACGCCATGATCTCGGGGTGCGCCTGCGTCGCGGCCGCGGGCGCGCCCGCCGCGCAGGGCGGCGTCCTGTTTGAGCAGGGGCCGACCGTCCTGGCACTCCGATAGGCACACGACGACACGTCTTCAGAACCAAAAAATGTCCCAAGAACAGCAACACGGCTCCTAGGAAAGCCGAGTGGCTAAAACAGGGCGGCCTCAGCCAGAAAAGTTCTAAGTTCAAAAAGCCCAAACACCCGACGTCATGATTTTCTCATGGCGCCAACCCCGAGAGTTCTCGACCCACTCCCCGGGACCGCCTTATCGTCCTGAGTCGTTTTCTGACGGCCCCGAAGCCGAATATAGCGACAAACCTCCCGCCATGACTTTGTCCTGACCCGAAGGGGTCTGGGAAGTTCTTGGCACATTCTTCGGTGGGCCTACCCCGAGACACAAAAGTAAATAGACACTAGTGACAGGATTCTGCCCATATGTTATGAATGTTCGTCTTCCCCCCCATTTATCATGTTTTCCCATATTTTCCTGGGAGTCGACGATTAATTGTGTCTGCGTGTTTCCTTCCCTCCTGATTGAGTCAGGCCAACACGCGTCGCCACTGCTTGTTGACCCGAACGGCCCGCCACCGGGGGCGCCTGAAGGGCGAGCGCCCGCCTACGCGGGGGGGGGCAACAATAGGGGGGACTGGCACAGATTAGGTCGGGCCTGTCCCTCCACAGCGGTCTACATATATATATATATATATATATACACACATACATATCTATATATATATACACACATACACATATACAAATACATGCATACATACATACATACATACATACGTACGTACATACATACATATATATATATACCATGGGATTGAACTATTATATATATATATATAACCAAATGAAAGAAAACAAAAAACGGTGACAATGTTGTCGACCATTTCGTGGTATTTGTTGGGCACGTTCGGGGCGCGTCTTATCTGTCGTCCAAAAATCCGCCTGCAAGCGGACAGGCCCGACCTCACCATACGGGGGGATCCATCCACGTGGAATCGGCCACCAATAGATCGGCGATAAGCCCCCGAGCGCGAATCCAAACCTTCCTGGGCAGGCCGGGGCCATCGGGCCCCCATCGGCGATCAGTGGGCGGTAGGGGGGTCGATGCATCTCCCCCCACGCCTATCTTTAGATCGGTCGCACCCCCCTGCACGGGCATTTTGGATGAAAAACGTCACCAAATATTCTAAAACAACAAAAAATAATCAATAAATCGCCTCCGCCTATTACCTACACGGCCACCCTGCGGGCGATAAGGGGGTTGGGAGGGGAACGGGGGCCAGCAATGGGCAACAGCGGCGATTGTTGCGTCGCCGACCGCTTTCGGGGGCCTCGGCGTCGAGTTGTTTACGTCGCCCTTTGCTCTCGGACGCCTCGGCGCCCCCCCCCCCCGGGAACCAACGAAATAATGGTTCATGTGCTTCATTTTGCGAAAACTCGGGGGGCCGTTTGGGCGCGCCCATTGGACCTTTCGCGGGGTTTTGGAAGCCTCTCGGGGGGCGCCCGGGGGCCTCCCGCGTGCCTCTCGGGGGCCTTTTTTTCGGGGGCGGCGAGCTCGATGTGGGCCCCCGGCCAGACGTTGACCTCCACCTCGCGGTTCTCAAACGCGGCACTGCGCCCGAGCACAGCGGCGCCAGACCCCCGGCGCACGCGGGCGAAGTGCTCGCGCGTCTTTGGCCGCGCGGCCACCACGATCTCCCCGCCGCCGGCATCCGCGAACTCCGCTTCGGCCACCATTAGGAGGTATCCGTTCTTCGTGGCTCGCTCGGAAGCGCCGATGCCAAGGAACTGGCCACAGAAGTCGAACGCCGCCCGGTGGGTTGCACCAGTATACCGTTCTCCTCTGGAAGCTCAACGACGCCCTCGATGTCCAATGCGATCTGGAACCCCTTAGTGGGATGCGCCAACGCTTCCGGGCTGGCGGGCGGGACTCGAATCAGCGCGGATGGGCTGCAAAGCCAGACCACCGACTTCGACGGGCCGCCGACGAAATCCGACTTGGCTCTGGCGTCGAAGCTCGAGGTCCGGAGCTCCCACGCGGAGTCTGCCGCGAATTTTCTACTGGCTCCGACTGCCGCATTCCGATTCTGGAAACTGAAGGGCGACCCGCCGAGCATGTACTGCGCGGGTGCGTTGGACACCAAAACGCAACTGAACTTCTGCGCCTCCACTTTTTCGTTCCTCGCTGTGAACGTGCAATCAAGGACCTTCGGGTCAAGGACCCTCTTTTACCACTTGGCGTACGTGGCCGTCTGGGCACTCATGTTCTTCAGCGTTTCCACACTCTTGTCGAGTATCTCGGCTGGCATAGCCTGGCCCCCCGTAGCGAGGCCGAAGGGAGTGCGTGACCGAAGTGGGTGCGTTCGCGGCGCCCCCGCGCGCCGACTGCAACAGAAGCCTTGGGCCGAAATCCTGGATGGTAAGAGAGTTGAGGGGGGGAGGACCCATCGTCTCACTCAATCGATCTGAACATGTACCCCACTATCGCGTTCACAACCGATATCAGTCGATCGATCACACTATCAATCTCACTCGATCGATCTCACTATCGATCTCACGATCGATCCCACGCAATCGATCTCACTATCGATCTCTCTATCAATCTCACAAGCGATGTCGCCATCGGTCTCACGATCGATCTCACCATCGATCTCACGATCGATCTATCGATATCACAAGCGATGTCGTTATCGGTCTCACGATCGATGGGACCATCGATCCCACTATCGATCTCGCTCAATCGATCTCACTATCGATCTCACTCGATCGATTTCACTGTCGATCTCAATCTGGGTCCCGCGATCGATCCCACTAATGATCTCCCTATCGATATCATTAGATCTCACAATCGATATCACGATTCCTATCATTATCGATCTTACGACCGATATCACGATCGATCTCACTATCGGTCGCACTATCAATCTCACGATCGATATCACAATCGATTTCGTCATCGGTCTCACTATCGTTTTCGCACCAGCGGGACACCGGGACACCCGCGGGACACCGGCGGGACATCGCGCGCCACCGCTTGCCGGAGGGAGAATCATTTGGTCCGGCCGGGGCCCAGCCACAAGCGACACCGGCGGGACACCGCGCGCCACCGCTTGCCGGAGGGAGAATCATTTGGTCTGGCCGCGCCTCAGCCACAGGAGACTTTCCTCTCGCCCGCCCACGCAGCTTCGCCTCGCCCGCACGCACCTCCGATGCTTGAAAGTTCGTCCTGTATCGGCGGTGGACAAATCTCCCTTTAGTAGACATCACCTTAGTGAAAACGGCCTGGGACCGAAACCGACGGACCTGCACCCGCAAAAGGACGGCCGCGACGCCCTCCCGCGAACCGAAAACGGCCAGTTCCTTGATCGGCGCGTCAGGGCAGGAGGTCCGTCCACCCCCGACTGTAGCGGGACGTGCCCGCCTCAAGCCGATCCACCCTATCTGATCTATCGTTGCCCCCGACCTCCGCGGCCCCGCCGCGCTCTGCGCCCGCCGGGGCCCGCCACACCGGCGCCGCCCAGGCGCCGGCCCGCACGGCGGCCGGCCCCGGCGGCGCCGCGAGCGCCCGCGGCCCGGCGGCGCGGCTGGCCCGTGCGCGGCCCGCGGGGCCGGCCTGCTCGGGCGTCCCCCGGGGAGCCGCCGCGGCGGCGGCGCCCCAGCGGCCCCCGGCGCGGCGCGCGCCCGCGCATCGGCGGCCTGGCCAGCCTCGCGCGCCGCGCGGGCGGCGTCCGCGCGAGGGGCACGGCCGTCAGCGGACGGCCGCGGGGGCCACGGCGGCGCGGCCATCGCGGCTCCGCGGCACGCTCGGCAGCCGCCGAGCGGAGCGCGCGCGCGCGCCATGCCGGGCGCGCGCCTGTGGCAGGGCGGCAGCCACGGGGCGCTGGCCGCGGCCGCAGCGGGGACGAGAGGCTGCGGGACCCTCGGGCACGGGCGCAACGGCGAAACGACAGCGCGGTGGCAAAAAAATGGGCGTCGGGCGCACGAAATGGGCACGGAAAAGGTACGTGGCACCCCGCAGTTGCGGAAAAGAGTCAGGGGGGGGCGGGGTCCTCGGCAGTCTGTGAGGCTCTGATGAAGCCCGTCGCAGGCGCTCGAGCTTTAACACATTGCACAACGAGCCCGCCGTAGGCAATTCGTCACAGCAATGTGTCTCGGGTGGGGCGCGGGGAGGGTCGCCGGTGGGTCGCGGAGTGGGTCGTGAGGCGGGTCGCGGGTCGGTCCTGGAGCGGGTCGCGGGTGGGACGACGACAACTCACAAGCAGAACCCGCGCCGCGGAACTCCACTTCGGCCACGCACCCAGGGACATAGAATGACCGTTCGGACCCCCCACTCCGACGATACCCCGCAACAAGTGGTGTCCAACACCAACACCAGCAGCGGCCGCTGTTGGGCAGGCGGCCTTCAGTCTGAAACAGGCCAGGCCCGCGGTGGCCAGAGACTCCGGCGGTCCAAAATTGGCAAGACCTGCTGTCGGTCTTCGTACCCCTTCTCTCCGTACAGTCGGGGCGTTGACCTAAGGAACCCTAAATAAGGAACCAGGCCGCTTCTTTCCATCAGTTAACCTTCGATTTCCTGTCGAAAACATAAGGAAAGCCTGAGGCAAGCTGTGAAACACTTTAAGGAGCGCGGAGCCCCTCCCCAACGAAAAGGGTTCCTTCTTCAGGGCCCCGACTGTACCCATTTCGGTCGTACTAATTTGCGGCATGTGGAAGCCGTTCCCGGCCCTGGGACAGTCCGAACCGACTCTGGGTGGACAGCGTGCCCTGGGGAAGGATACCCGATACCCCAGGCCACGAACAAATGGCGACGTCGGAGGAGAGGGAGGGCCCTCACCTGCGGCGGATTTGACTTGTTCCATTGCCCTCCGAGGGAGCCGTCTCAGTCCAACTAAAATCTTCGATGAAACAATACTCGGGGAAGCTCTGCAGCCAACGGATACAAAAAAAAACGGCATGGAAGCCTTGAACTTTCCCGCCCCCCGTCCTCCTTCTCTCCCTCTTACATCCTTCTCCCTCCTCCCTCCTCCCCGTCAATCATCTTCAGGCCGACAGCGGCGGCAAAATCTGTTACTTCTCCTTTCTTTCCCCAGTGTGGCCAGGCAGCCTCCTGGCCCGTGGGAGGGAGCAGAGGGAATGAAAAGGAATTACAATAGAACCTAGGCCAATAGAACATCTCTCAGGAACATGAAAATCTCCGTCGGCCAAAACACACAGAACATCCAAGTGCACCCTCCCCAGGATGCACAAAAACATCCAACGAGCACGAAGAACACGAGGGTACCCTCGCCGAACCAACCTCGATCTCATACCTCGGTCCGACGGTACCAGGGAATGAGGAGGACAGAGGACACTGCAAGAATGAGGAGAAGGCGAAGGGAGGAGGAGGAGGAGGAGGAGGAGGAACAGAACCGATCCGTTCAGACTGTATGCACCCCATGCGTCGCGAAAAAAACACCACATAGAGCAAATCATAAGCCTTGCATGACACAGCTTTCTCCACACAACTTTTGCACCACCTAGATCGCACCACAATGATGGCACCACAGGCTGATCTTGCAATACACGCACACGTTATATATATATATATATATATACACCAGAACCACGCGTCCTTCGCGCGCTTAGGTTCTAGTTTGGCATATGCACAAAATTCGTTGTGATACCAAGGGGGGGCCAAGGGGGTGATAAAAGTTGCCGTAGATGCCAATGATCTCCATTTACCGACGGTCAACTCGGGATCGATTGAGGGCGGGACCTCGTGTTCTCCAACTCCCTGCCCCTCGTCGCAATCTCCCTTCTCGATCAGGAGCAGCAGCAGCAACAGCAACAGCAGAACGATCAGGGTCGATAAAGGGCAGGAGCAGGAGCAGCAGGAGCAGGTTCTGCAGGAGTCCACCAGCACCGATCCTGGCGAGGCCCATCGGGCCATCTCGGGTTGGTCCGGGAGGTTTCCTGGACCGTCCGAGGCCGTCGTGCGCCCGGCCCCCCGGCGCCACCGAGGGCCCAGAGGCCGCTGACAGCCGAAGGGCGCTGGGGGGCTCTGCCCTGGACGGGCACCAGCAAAGCAAGTCCATCCAGGGCAGAGCCCCCAAAACTGCGATCCAAAAAGGGATCATCTTTTTGTTGATCCCTTTTGCAGGGATCAGAAATCTTTGGGCACCCAGAGTGCCCCTCTGGAGAATGCGGCCCACATGGGGAACAAGGCACGAGGCCCGTGTACAGTGGTGTCTGCCCCCCCCCTCCCACACGGCTGGAACAGTGGTGCCCTCCCTCGGTCCCCCAGGCGACTCAAGCTGAAATCCTTCTACCCCCCCTCGTCGTCGTCGACGGCGCCGCCCCCACGACTCCTGCGGCTGGCACGGGGGCTGGCCGCCGTCCACCAGGGCGTAGCCGCACCGCACGCAGAAGCAAGCCGTGGACGTGTGCCCGCACATGCCGCACCGCGGGCACTCCTGGCCACCCCCACTGGGGCGATGAATGCTCTGTCCGAGCAGTCGCACCTCACTGCTGGCACGGAGAGAGCACGGCGAAGGGTTGATGGCCGTGTTCGGCCTCTGGGCGCCCTCACGGGGCCCCAGGATCGTCAGATCACGGCACGGGATAAAAAAAACTGTCCTCAGGAAGGGGTTGAGATCTCTGGGGATCCATCTCTGGGGGTCCTGGGGCTTTTGCCCGTTGTTTCAATTTTCTCATCGGCGAGACCGTTGGGGAAGGAGGGAAACTTAGGGGACGAACCGCGGACAGACAGGCCAAAAATGTGAGCGAGTGCGACGAGCTGGCTGTAAAATCAGCTGGGCACGAGCTGCTCGACTGGCCTGGCAGGACGGGTCGACTGGACGATGAACGCTGCGTCCGTAGGATCGCACTTCATTGATGGCAGAAGTTGCACCTGTGGCTTGCGATCGTCATTGCTTGGGCTGAGCGAAGGTGCAGGTGTCGTGAAGAGCCCCCCGCACTTGCAGAGATACGATGACGCGATGGGTCTCCTGCGTCTGCCTTCCGCTGCTAGGAAAAGAAAATCGCATAAGCATAAATTGTCAGAGGGCCGCACGCATTTGTTGGATCGGAGCTGGACCGCCTTTGGCCTGGGAGTGGCGCGACTGAAACCTAAACGCCGCTGACAAGCCCCCCTGACAAGCCCCCGCGAACCCACTGACAAGTCCCCACGGGTCCACGGAAAAGCCCCCGGGGGGGGGTCCACTGACAAGCCCCCGCGGGTCCACTGAGAAGCCCCCGCGGGCCCTACTGACAAACATCTGGGGGTCCACTAGGTCCACTGACAAGCCTCCGCGGGTCCTACTGGCAAGCCCCCGTGGGCCCGCAGGTCCTACTGACAAGCCCTGGGGGGTCCACTGACAAGCCCCCGCGGGTCCACTGTTTGTCCCACCGACAAGCCCGCGCCCCCGCGGGTCCTACTGACAAGCCCCCGCGGGCCCGCGGGTCCCACTCCACTGTCAAGTCCCCACGGGTCCACTGTTTGGCCCACGGGTCCACTCACACGCCCCCGCGGGTCCTGCTGACAAGCCCCCGCGGGCCCGTGGGTCCTACTGACAAGCTCCCAGGGGTCATACTGGCAAGCCCCTGGGGTTCTACTGACAAGCCCCCGCGGGTCCAGTGCTTGTCCCACTGACGAGACCCCAAGCCCCCCGTGGTTTGGTAGTGGACCCGCGGGGGTTCGTCAGTAGGACCACCGTGGGCGCGTGAGAGAAGGCTCGGGCGGGGGCTTGTCAATACGACCCCTGGGGGCTTGTCAGTAGGACCCGCAGGGGCTTGTCAGTTGGCCCCTGGGGCCTTGTCAATGGACCCCCCAAGGGCTTGTCAGTGGCTCCCCGGGGGCTCGTCAGCAGGGCCCGCGGGGGCTTCTCAGTGGACCCGCGGGGGCTTGTCAATGACCCCCCGGGGGCCTTGTCCGTGGACCCGCGGGGACTTGTCAGGGGACGCCAAGGGGGGGGTTGTCAATAGCCCCCCGGGGGCTTCAGCGGGTTCGCCACGAGTGCTTTGCACCACCCCCCAAGATGTCTCCAAGAGGCTCCAAGGAAGCTCGCAGGAGGCCCCAAGAGTGCCCCCAGAGGCTCCCAAGATGACCCCTGCTCCTCCTCCTCCTCCTCCTCCTCCTCCTCCTCCTCCTCCTCCTCCTCCTCCTTCCTCCTTCTGCCCCTCCGCTCCTCCTCCTCCTCCTCCTCCTCCTCCCTCCTCCTCCTCCTCCTCCTCCTCCTCCTCCTCCTCCTCCTCCTCTCCTGCTCCTCCTCCTCCTCCTCCTCCCTCCTCCTCCTCCTCCTCCTCCTCTCCTCCTCCTCCTCCTCCTCCTCCTCCTCCTCCTCCTCCTCCTCCTCCTCCTCCTCCTCCTCCTCCTCCTCCTCATCCTCCTCCTCCTCCTCCTCCTCCTCCTCCTCCTCCTCCTCCTCATCCTCCTCCCTCCTCTCCTCCTCCTCCTCCTCCTCCTCCCTCCTCCTCCTCCTCCTCCTCCTCCTCCTCCTCCTCCTCCTCCTCCTCCTCCGCCTTTTCCTCCTGATCTTCCCCGCCATACTCCCCAAAAGTTCCCCGAAGGGTTTACACAACGGTTGGAGAGCACATGGTCCGATAGCTTGGCAAAGCTTGTGCCACAACGCTCGGCCACATGGGCGATTGCAAAAGACAGGGGGCGGCCGTGACTCGCCGTACTTGGGCGTTTTCGAGAATCAAGGCGGAGATAAAGCAGGGCAAAAGCCCTCTCGCACAATTCGTCTGTGATGACTGCGTAACCAAACAAGGTCCAGCCCCCATCCACCCCCAGGCCACCGCCGACCCCTGCTCCTCCCCTCGGTACGCCCAAAAATGGGCGCACGGACCAAACAAAAAAACACAGCAGCAAAATGTGGCCCAAACCCGACGGCGGCTGCTGTTGGCAAAATCTTAGTAACATGAGTGATGTTGGTTTCCTCGTCGAAGCTATGTTTGGTTTCCTCGCCGAGGCCATCTTGGACGCTCTAACTGCTCGCGGTCCCACCGTCCAGGCCCAGAGGGAGGCTCGAAAGGGATGATGGGGGGTGGAAGAAGAAGCGCCACTACAAACCACTCTCGGCCAGAAGGTTGGTGGGATTCAGCAAACTATGACACGTGTGATTTTCAGGCAACTCTTTGCGTCAAGTGGACAACGTCCGCGGCGACGCCGACAGCGAGCCCTGTTCAGAGCGGGCAGGACCTGCGGTTTGTCTCCGTCCACATGTCGGCCGATCGTGCCCAAATGCGAGGCGGGGATTTGTCCATATCCACCTCCTGGTAACCGACGCCCTGGTGCCCCAGCGGGCGGTGGATACGGCTATAGCTTGGCCCCCGGGGGCCCGAATATGTGCATGTATCCACCGCATGCCGAGGCTCCGAAAACTGACCCTCCAGGCGGTGGATATGGATAAACTCCCTCCTCGGAACCAAGGACTGATTCGGGCACTTTTTTTGATCCGCGGGTCGAGAGCGCACATCTTCCGGTCGAAGCTAAGCGGGCCGCGCACAGCTTGAATTAACAGAGGGGGAAAGGCAGAAGGAGGGGCCTCACGTCAAGGCCAGGAGAGGGCAAAGCCCCGGAATCAGGCGGTGCCGAAAACGATGTGCTTGCGAAGGAACGCCTTGGACAGGAACCCGGCGGCGAAGGACAGGAAGAAGCAAACTGCTGTGGTGGTGGTGCCGTCAGCGGCGCGTCATGTGCACCAGGGCGGGGATGGACAGACCCCCCTTTAGCACAACGTGGTTTAGTGAAAACGACCTGAGGCCCAAACCTTGCGGGCGCAGGCCTGGAAAACGACGGCCACGGCGCCCTCTCGAGGACCGAAAACGGACAATGCACCAATCGACGTGTCACTGTTGGGGAGTCTGTCCACCCCCGACACACACACACACACACAGACATGGATTCCAGATCCCGTGGGTCTGGCGCCTGGGCGCCAGACCCACGGGATCTGGAATCGGAGGAGGAGGAGGAGGAGGAGGAGGAGGAGGAGGAGGAGGAGCCCACGGGATCGGGGAAGGCACCCCCGAGGCGCGAGCCCAGCGCCGCTCGATCTGGCGACGGAGCGCGCCGGCTCTGTGCAGAAGCGGCGCCCGTCGCTCGTCCGCGCGCCGGGGGAATGCACATCTCTGCGCTCCCTCGAGGGGGGGGCCCCAAAAAATATAGACACCACCACCACCTCCCTCCCCCCCCCCTTCCCTCTCGCTGGCAGGGGGCGAGAGGAGGAATCGACGTGGTGGTGGTGTATCCTCTTGGGGCCCCCACTGGACTGGTGTTCGCAGCGAGGGGAGGAGGCCGCGGCCTGCCCCAGGGGAACCCGCAGGCGCGGTCTGACCCTGGCTGGCGGGCGCGGATGCGGCTGTGGCAGCAGACGAGCGGCCCACCCCGATGGGGGTCCCGAGGACGAGTCGGGGCAGCCCAGATGCAGCGGCCCTCGGACCTCGAGGACCAAGGAGAGCCCTTCCCTTCGCAGACGATGCTCCCCGAAGGCCCGACAGCACGTGCAAGTTCAGGACACGGACCCCGGACCTCTGGACGCCTTTCCAGGAGCTGCTTCTTCGTCCCAGTTCGTCTTGACCGCCCTGAGGATCGGAAGTGGCCTCGGGGGCGCGAGATTCATAGGTTTGCTTGTTTCGCAAAATCGGCGGTGGACAAACCTCCCTTTGGTAGACCTCCCCTGAATGAAAACGGGCTGGGACCGAAACCGACGGACCTAGACCCGCAAAAATGACGGCCGCGACGCCCTCTCGCGAACCGAAAACGGCCGATTCCTTAATCGACGTGTCAGGGTAGGAGGTCTGTCCACCCCCGACAGAAACATTCTGTTCGGGGTCCCGAATCGGAGCCCGGACGTGTCACACAGCTCCGGTTGACTAGAGTTTCGAGGGGCGTCCGGCCGCGGCGAGGAGAAGCCCCCAAACGGACAAGCCGATCGTGGCCCTGCGGCGGAGTGGGCGCGTCGACCAGAGATTGGTGGATGCAGCCAGACGCGGCTCCGTGGGAGCGGCGGCAGGCGAGAAGGCGCGGTCAGAAGCCACTCCCGGGAGGATGCCGATGGTGGACAAACACGTTCTCAAATACGTGAATATGCTGAGTGCGCCCGTTGCTGTCGCAGACGGAGCCTGCGCCCCTGGGTGGGCCATCGCCTTGGCGCGCCGTCCGGATGGCACGCCAACCGCCGCACAAGTGAACTTCCACCGTGCGAGACGATGTCATTATACAGCTGTGGCCGCCGATCGTTTAACATATCCGACAGCGGCTGCACGCGCGCTTTGTGACAAATCAGAGTTTGAGACCCCCAAATCCGTAGATGGCCTCCAAGACGGCCAAGATGGCCTCCAAGACGGCAAAGATGGCCCCAAGATGCCTCCAAGACGGCCCAAGATGCACCCAAGACGGCCTAAGATGGTCTCAAGATGGCCCAAAACGGCCCAAGAGGCTCCCAAGAGGCCTCCAAGACGGCCCAAGAGGCCTCCAAGAGGTCCTCCAGGAACGCCCGAAGAGGCCGAAATCATTGATTTTGCTTAGGTTTTAGAAGGAGTTGGGCATTTGCGCCTTTTCGGCTTTCCGACGGCCCGAGACGGCCCAAGAGGCCCCAAAGTCGCCGCAAGATCGCCCAAGAGGCATCCAAGATGGCCCCATGACGGCCCAAGAGGCCCCTCAAGACGGCCCCAAGAGGGCCCTCAGACGGGCCAAGAGACCTCCAAGACGCCCAAGATGACCTCTAAGACGACCCCGAAGCGCCCCAAGAGGGCCCCAAGTCGGCCCAGAGAGGCCCCCAAGACGGCTCCCGACGGCGTCAGACGTGCCAGGAACCCACGAAGATGGCCGAAGTTGGCTCAAAGCTGGCCCAAGACGGCCCAGGCCTCCAGGAAGGCCAGAAAAAAAGCCAAAAACACTGTTTTGTCCTTAGGTTTTTGAAGGATTTTGACATTTGCTTCTTTTCGGCCTTCCGACGGCCCGAGACGGCCCAAGAGCCCCCAAAGATCGCCCAAAGATCGCCCAAGAGGCCTCCAAGATGGCCCCAGAACGGCCCAAGAGGCCCCAAGACGGCCCCAAGAGGCCCCCAAGACGGCCCAGGAGGCCTTTGGGACGCCCAAGATGGCCTCCAAGCCGGCCCTGGAGCATTCCAAGAGGGCCCCAAGTCGGCCCAGAGAGACCCCCCAAACGGCTTCCGACGGCGTCAGACGGGCCAGGAGCCCACCAAGACGGCCGAAGGTAGCCTTAAGATAGCCCAAGACGGCCCAAGAGGCCTCCAAGAGGGCCTCCAGGAAGGCCCGAAAAGGCCAAAATCATTAATGTTCATAAAGTTTTTGAAGAATTGTTGCATTTGCTTTTTTTCTGCCTTCCGACGGCCCGAGACGGCCCAAGTGCCCCCAAAGATCGCCCAAGACGCCCCAAGAGGCCCCCAAGACGGCCCAAGAGGCCTCTAAAACGCTCAAGATGGCCTCCAAGACGGCCCAAGAGCCCTCCAAGACGTCCTCCAAGAAGGCCCGAAAGGGTCAAAATGGCCTCCAGACGGCCACGATGACCTTCAAGATGCCCACGTGCTCCCCGAAGGCTTTCCAAACATATTCGGGGAACACATGGTCCGATAGCTTGGCAGGCCTGGCCTCAACGTTCGGCCACACAGGCGCTTCCAAAGAGGCGGGGGGCGGCGGTGATTCGCCATAGGCGCCTTCGATAGGAGGGAGAAGAAGAGAAAACAGCACAAACAGAAACTGTGGGGAACTACCGTACGGCAGGTTCGTGTCGTGCCGACCCCAGCGTTGGTTTTTGACACCGCAGGGATCGTTCAACCTTGAACGATCGGCCGCTGCCGCAACGTCCAATCGTTCAACATCGATCGATTCTGGGTCGCCGGCGGCGTTCAACCTTGAACGTCCGCGCTGGGGTCGCCGCTGGTCGACACGACGCAAACCTATCGTAAGTCCGCGTGGACTTGTTGCGTCGGCGCTGGAGCACCCCCTGCGGCGCCGGGGGCGCAGCCAGGGCTGCGTGGAGCGAGGGCCAGCCCCGACCCAAGAAAGCCGCCCAGACCTCCGAGCAGTTCTGGCCGTGCTGTATGCTTATTACTACTACTACACCCTGCGAAATGCTTAAGAAATCATGGGTTAAGAAATTCATAGCCTCAGAACTTGAATACAAACCCAACATTTCTATTATAATCTTGGGATTTGCATTGAAATATCAAGAATAATCGAGACTCTGGCCGAAAAATTAAGTTTTCTTAAGCATCGCATAAGGTGTACTGTGATCTCGGGCCGAGGTGCTGACGCCCACCCACTGCTGCTAACTACCCGCTATCCTGCGTGCAAGTATTCGTCACGAAGGGGGGGCCGAGTTCGAATGCTCTGAGTTGTGCTACGAACGAGGAATGAGCACATGGAAGGCGACGCCCAGCCCTGTAAGCCAACGCCCGAACCCTCCCCAGGCCCGTACGTGTGCAGCGCAATTCCTGCGGCGGCATTCTTACCACCTAGGAACGCTCCATCGACGCTCCCGACGACGACGACGATGACGATGACGATGACGATGACGATGACGATCGTCATCGTCATCTTCATCGTCATCGTCATCGCCAACCCCGCTGATCCTCGGAGTGACCCATGCAGTTTTTTACATTCTATCCCTGACCCCCGTCAGCGCTGACCCCTATCGCTGACGCCTGTTACCCGCGGACCGAACCCCCATCTGGTTTTCAGGCAACAACTACTTCGGGTCTCAGGCGGCCGTTCGGGATGACCCCGGCACCCCTGGAAGGCGCAGCTGACGAGAACCACCCAGAAAGCCCTTAGAACACACAAAAACTTCCAGACACGCTCAAAATCGCTCCGGCTGACCCTGGTCAGTGCTGGCCCCCGTTACGGCGGGCTCGTGCCGTGACGACCTCCGCGCTGACTTCTGGCACCGCGTGTCCGCTCGACCCTGAAGCTCGGTAGCGTTCGAATACCACGGAGCGCTCGATATCTTGGTAGTCCCCAAACGTGGTGGTGACAACACCTGGCGGTGAGTCTCGGGCGATTTGGTGTCACCACCCTGTTTGGGGACTCGTGCGGTTTTCCGAGGATGTCCCGGACACTGGTGGGTCCAGGAGTCACAAAACCCGGTGGTGAACCCGCGTCCCCAAACCCAGCGGTGACCTTTTTGGGGATTCCAGGTCGCCACCTGGTATCTCACCACCCGGTTTGGGGGTTCCCAAACCACGGAGCGCTCGACATCGGCCGCCTCTGGGCCACCGACCGCGCTCAAAACCTTGCACGCCCACGGCGGAGCCGCCGCCCGCGGCGACGCGGCACGAGCCCGCCGCCCCCGCGCCCCAAAGCGAAGGGGGTCCTTCTGGGCCTCCCGCGCGCGGGGCCGGCCGCAGGCCAGGTCGTCGTCGGACGAGCAGCTGGCCCCCAGGGCGGACGCCTCCAGGAAGACCACCGGGACGTCGCCGTGCGGCCTCCGCGGCGTCGGCGTCGTCGTCGTCGGCGTCGGCGTCGACGTCGTCGTCCTCGGCGTCGTCCTCGTCGTCCTCGTCGGCTTCATCGACGTCTTCGCCGTGTGCGCCCTCGGGGGCCGATCCTGGATGGCCTCGTCGATCGAGGGTCGAGGTTCGGGGCTCCAGGTTTGGGCATGACGGATCCACCTCGGAAATCCCGGCCGCCGAAGGTGCCAGACGGCCCAAAGCCTCCCGAAGACGGCCCGACACGCCTGAGGGGCCCTGAGAGGCCCGCAAGAGGCCCCAAAGAAGACCCCCCCCAAAAAAAAACTGGGTAACCTCCAAGAAACTCCCATCCCAGGAGGCCCCCCAACTCCCTATACTCTACACAGTCAGGACGTGCACCTCGCGAAACGAAAGGAATCCACGGCCGAACCGCTACGCAGGAGCAAGCGTGGATTCCAAACAGGAAATCTGCAGAATCTGGATGCGGAAGCTATAGGAAGCAGTATGTGCGGTGCAGTCTACATGTTACATGCTGCGTGGTGTTTTCTACGTGTTGTAGCATATGTGGGGTACATAGGCAATGTGATGCAGACTCTGCTGTGCAATCTATGTGGTACAAGCTCTGCGGCGCAAATAACTGATGTTCACTGGTGAATTGTCAGCTCCATTGCTTGCGCAATCACCCAAGCCTCTCAACCGCAACTTCTTTTGCACAACCCGCGCGGCAGCGATTGTAGTGACTCCTTGACACTGGCTGGCGCATCTGCGCGGCTGCGCCAGCCCGCGAACTCGCGCGCAGACCAGCTAGCTCTGACTTGGCGCAGCCGATGCGGCCGCGATGGCGCTTACGGATGACATCTTTCCAGCGCCTATCACAGGCCGCGCTGGCGCGCGGGCACTTCAGTTCGGGTCGGTGGCTCGGGCGGGCGAAATATTATGATGACGTCGACAACGGCGGCAACGATGATGAAAGCAACGATGGTGGAGGCGATGCTAACGATGACGACGGCAAGGCCAATGACGGCGCCGATGCTGGTGAAGACGATGGCGCTGATGACGTCGGTGTGTCGGTAATGAAGGTGATTGATAATGGCGGCAACGGCGATGGCTGACGATGACGAGAAAGGCGGTGATGCGGTGGCGCTAATGAGGGTGTTGGTGGGGAAGTGCGCGCGCGCGAAATGCAAAAACTTGCCACACGTTTTGTTAAAACAGACTTGGTGGTTCATGGGCGTCTGAAAAACTCGCTATTGAAATGCGTCAAACAGAAATTGTGTTAAAGGATTCGACGCGCGCGCGTGGCGACGCGCGCGTGTGGCCCTCATGGTTTCATGTGATGCAGATGCGTGGGTGCAGGCTAAACCAACGCGGATGTGCCGTGTGGTGAAATGATAATGCTGGTTCTGGGCGACGTAGCTAAAACCACATGATTGTCAAATGGTTTCAGCAAATGCGCGCGGGCAGAAATTCTGGAAGCTGTGTGATGACAAACTAAAAAGTACGTGATACTTGTGGTTAGCATGCTCACAAAACTAATGCTTGCTATGCTTTCAGCGTGTGCCCGCGCGGGTTGACGTTTTGCCAGAATGTGCCAGGGATTCTTGAAAAAACGATAAGTGGGTAAACCGGGGTGCGCGCGCATAGTATGATTTGAAAATGATGCTGGGGGTATCAGTACAGGCTGGGCTGGAATCAAATGGACTCATATGAATAAGCGGTAAGGAAAAGTTGCAATGTCCCCCGGAAAACAATTAGCTACGAGCTGAGGAGGGGGTTGACTCCAGTCTCTTTTGACCGAAGTGTGCTGCGAGCTACGATGTGCAAGCTATGCGGGGCAATGCATGCGGCGCATACGCTATATGGTGCATAGCATGTGGGGTAGGCTATCCAGCGCAAGCTATGTGATTCAAACCATATGGTGTACGCTGTGTGGTCCAACCTATGGTGCAAGCTATGCGGTCCGACCCTTAGGGTGCGAGCAGCGCGGTGCAAACCATGGGGTGCAAACTACGGCATGCAATCGAAGCGCCAGCCAGCGCACGAAACGTCCACGAGGCGGCCACGGGCACCCAACTGCCGAACACCCAGACCCTCCGTCCGCTTCTGCTCCGCCGCGGCGGCGCGGACCCACGCCGCGGTCGGAGGCAGCCGAAGGGCACTGCGGAGCCGAAGCGGGCACAACAGAGGAGAACCACCCGGCACGAAAAGCGCCCACGAGGCGGCCACGGGCCGCCCGCACGGCGACGACACGGAGCGCCCATCCAACAGGTCGGCGCTCACGAGGCGGCCGCGGGCACACGCCACGGCCGGGGGCGCACGGCCGCGCGGCTGCCGCCAGTCCCACCGCAGGCTTCGGGAGCGGCTCCGCCCAGGGCGGCAGCGGGGCGAGAGAGGCGGCTGGAGGAAAACGGGCCCTCCTCGCAGACGGAAGCCCGACGGCCACCCGCCTAAGCGCGACGCCGCCGCCGCCGCAAGAGCCCAGTCGCCAGCGCCAGGGCCAAGCCGCCGTCGCGCAGCCTCGGCAGGGGCCGCCGCCGCCGCCTCGCCGAAGCCAGGCCGGCAGCGGGCCGTCGAAGCCGAAGGGCCGCCGCCGCTTCCTCGGAAAGGGTGTCCCCGCCAGGGCCGCGGTGCTGCCAGAGGGGCCGCGCGGTCTCGACGCCGGATGGGGCCGGGGCCGCGTCGCCCGGACCGAAATCGTCACAGGGTCCGCCGAGAGCGGGTGGGGTGCCGCCAGTGAGGGTCGCCGTCGTCGTCGGCGTCGTCGTCGTCGGTGGCGGTGGCGTCGGCGTCGGCGTCGTCGTCGTCGTCGCCGTCGTCGTCGCCCGAGTCCTAGTCCGAGTCCGAGTCCGAGTCCGAGTCCGAGTCCGAGTCGAGTCGAGTCGAGTCGTCGTCGTCGGAGTCGAGTCGAGTCGTCATCGTCGTCGGAGTCGATGCGAAGTGGCGACGTGCCCAGGACGTTGGCTGCCGAAGAGAAGACGGGCGCGCCGCCGCGCGAGCGGCAGCGCTGGCGCGCCCAGACACGAGGCTGCCAACAGGGGCCCTCGGGCGCCTCAAGGGCAGTGCCCATGGCAGGTGAGCGCTCTGGCAGGTAGCGTCGGCCGCATCGGGGAATCGTCCTGGCAGGCACCTCTCGGCGGTGGACAAACCTCCCTTTAGTAGACCTCCTCTTAGTGAAGACGGCCTTGGGCCGAAACCGACGGACCTGGACCCGCAAAAATGACGGCCCCGACGCCCTCTCGCAAACCGAAAACGGACAACTTCTCAATCGACGTGTCAGGGTAGGAGGTCCGTCCACCCCCGAGATTAGCGATCCATGGATTTGGCGCGCCATCGCCAAAACCATGAATCTTGGGAGGTGCCCCCTCCAGAAGGCGGCAGATGCCGCCTCGCTCGGCGACCCGTCGCTAATCCACGCCCCCTTTGATCCATGCCTGCGATGGCCTGAATGGGGCCACGAACCGTGTGAGAGGGATTGCCAACATGGGTGCGGACAGGCACAAGCGAACCCTGCCACTGGTCTGTCCACCCCCGCACCTCCGGGTCGCCCCGGGAGGCGCTCCGGCAGGGCCACCGCCGGAGCAGTCGGGTCGGGCGAAAGGGGGGGATAGCAAAGGGGGGGGTTGAGAATCAGCTCACGTAGCTGATTTTCCCGGCGCCTCCCGGCGCCAGGAGGCGCCCATGTATCGAGGAATGGGCCCCTCGGTCGGGCCGAAACCAGCTGCATGCAGCAGATTTCGTAACCCCCCCTTTCCCAAACCCCCCCTTTCGCCCGACCCGAGGCAGGCGACCGCGCGAGGCAAGGCCAAAAAAAAAAAAAAAGGGCCGGCTCGCGCGGGCCACGCGGCCCGCCGAGGTCCGCCGCACTGCCCCGGGCACGGCGAGCGGGGGCTGTTCCTGCCGCGAGGCGGAGGCGGAGGAGGAGGAGGAGGAGGAGGAGGAGGAGGAGGAGGAGGAGGAGGAGGAGCGAGGAGGAGGAGCGAGGAGGAGGAGCGAGGAGGAGGAAAAGCAGGAGGGGGAAGAGGCGGCGAGGGGGAGCCCTCTGGAGAGACAGCGGCCGTGCAGGCTCAACCGCCCACCGCCACCATCACCACCTCTCGGGCGTTGGCAGAGCTGGGTTTAGTGGAACCTGGTTTAAGGATCTGTACCAGGGGCGCCCCCCCGCCCCATTTCCGCGAACCGGAACTGCCGCCACCCGAAAAAGCACCAGCTGTGGCAGACCTGGCTTAGTGATTCTGGCCAATTCGAGGGCCCCGGGGCGTTACCACTAACCGGGTCCCCTTGCCTGGGGCCCTGGCTATACCCGAACCACCACCACCCAGCAGTGACGCCCCAGAGGCTCCGACAATCATATCCCACGAGCGCCAGCGTGGGCCCCAAAAGGCTCCCAGGCAGACCCCAAAGAGACAACCCGGAGTTTCGAGGGAACTGCCCCGGCTGACCCCAACCTCTCTGCGATCCGTGCCCCGCTGCTCGTTTCAACCGTGCTGCGCCGCGTCACGTCTCACGACGTCCTGCCCCACAGTCGTTCGCGGAAGGGCTCGCGAGGAGGCGCAGATTGCGCCTCGCTGCGCCGCGGTGACACCGCGAGGCAATCGCAAAACAAGCGTGACGGAACGACCGCCCACTCCGACTCGACAAGAGCGACGATGACATCGTGGATGCCACGACAGTACACTCTAACAGTCCTATCATTGAATTGAAAGTATGGCTAGAATGTGTAAAACGTGTTCTAAAAACGCTTCAAACGTGTGTCTACATATCTAAAACATGTTTCAGACATTGGTTAGGCATCTGGAGATTGTTTGGCAGCACGCTTCCTCTCCATTAGTGGACTGCCACAACGATGACAGCACCCGCGCCCACGCCGGCAACCGCCGCCGGCACAGCACGCGTGGGCGACACGGGTGGCGAGCACCACGTCGTGCGCTGCGCGGTGAACGCTGGCGGCGAGCACAGGGTTCGGAACGGAACTGGAGTGGGGCGCTCGTTTTAGGTCGGGCGTGTCTGAAGGGGCC